TTTCATCACACAATACCTAACATAATTAGAACTGTGACTACAAGCACACTTCATCACACAATACCTACATAATTAGAACTGTGATATACAAGCACACTTCATCACACAACAATACCAACAAGATTAGAACTGTGATTACAAGCACACTTCATCACACTATAACTACATAATTTAGAGCTGTGGACTAAAAGCACACTCATCACACCATACCTACATAATTAGAACTGAGACTACAAGCACACTTCAACACACAATAACTACATACTTTAGAAACTGTCACTACAAGCACAACTTCATCACACAATACCTACCTAAATTAGAACTAGACTACAAGCACACTTCATCACAACAATACCCTACATAATTATAGCTGTGACTATAAGCACACTTTCATCACACAATACAACATAATTAAACTGTGGATTACAAGCACACTTCATCTCACAATACCTACATAATTAAGAGCTGTGACTAAAAAGCACCCCTTCCTCACACAATACCGACATAAATAGACTGTGATTACAAGCACACTTCATTCACCATACCTACATAATTAGAACTGTGACTACAAGCACACTTCCAACACACAATACCTACATAATTAGAACTGTGACTTACAAGCAACACTTCCTCACACCAATACCTACATAATTAGAGCTGATGGACTAAAAGCACACTTCATCAACACAATACCTACATAAATTAAACTGTGATTACAACACACTACATCACACAATACCTACATAATTAGAACTTGACTACAAGCACACTTCAGCACACACTTCCTACATAATTAGAACTGTGACTACCAGCACACGTCATCACACAATACCTACATAATTAGAACTGGATTACAAGCACACTTCATCACACAATACCTACAAAATTAGAACTGTGATACAAGCACACTTCATCACACAAACACACATAATATAAACTGTGACTACAAGACACATCAACACACAATACCTACATAATTAGAACAGTGATTACAAGCACACTTCATCACACAATACTTACATAATTAGAGCTGTGACAAAAAGCACAACTTCATCACACAATACCTAAAATAATTAGAACTGTGATTACAAGCACACTTCATCACACAATACCTACATAATTAGAACTGTGATTAAAGCACACATCATCACACAATACCTAAATAATTATAACTGTGATTACAAGCACACTTCATCACACATACCTACATAATAGCAGTCTGTGACATACAAGCACACTTCATCACCACATACCTACATAATTAGAAACTGTGACTACAAGCACACTTCATCCACACAATACCTACATAATTTTATTGACACAATTAGATTCAGTCAGATGATAAAATCACTGCAAGGACCAAATTAAACGAATTAAAACGGAAATAACGTAAAGTTTGTCGGAGATGGCACTACCACCATCGTCTCGACTATACAAGAATGAATAACATACCTATATAAAGTAAAATTCCATTCAGAATCATGAAAATTTAAAACAAAATCACTTAAAATTTAACTCCCGTACAAACACCCGAAATAGAAATAATTGCTGACATAATAATTTAACCATAAGAGGAAGTATAAAAGGCAACTTCAATGATCACTAACCTGCGTATCAGTATCGAGTCCCCAACAGAACACCTCAATACTCGAACAGGTCCTCCCCACTCACATTCACAACGTACTTAGAAACAGTAATCACAAGTGTTCCATGCTCGTACAACAGATCGAGAAATCTGCATAATGATGGTTGATCTGAATTAGTTTTGTTATCGAAGACCGTGATGTAGCTCTTCTTGAAATAACAACAAAAAAGCACACATTCCTCCCCATTGAAGAACGAATAAGTTTCAAGATTTGTCTTCTGGCGTATAATGTTATATGTACAGCCAAGCACCAACCATATCTGTCCCTGAATCTTCTTCAGCTTGACTCACATCAGCAAATTCTAAAACACGGCAACTGTCCTGGTGATGACTTAAGGTTTTAAAGTTAGTAGACCCAGTAAAATCAGGCTAGTGATAGGAGGATTTAGCAACGCATCCCCCAAAAAACCCCCTGGAACTTTGCTACCGTTATACGGTAAGAAAAGCTAACAACATTGATACTTTTAAAACGGCTTTAAAACCGATTTTTTCAATAATCAGAACATACCTAGTCGTAATTATATTTGTGTTCTTTTTTAGAAAGTTCCTAGGACCGGGCCTTCAGTTTTTAGATTTAATCCATGGGATTTTTTTAACTGTCATGAGTTGTGAGTATAGTTACACACTTACACGGAGTCCGGATAAGACTATACTGCCATTTGCCATGCCCTGGCTTGTTTTTATTTTTATTTTTATAAACCTGTAATACTTTGGCCGTACCACATGATTGCGGAGTTGGTAGCACATGCTTCGGCAATCTAACCTGTACCTCAGTGAACCGTGGGTGAAAGGCAGCTTGCTTGCAACTGTTTGGGTACAGGGTGGAAGAAGTGTGCGAGTTCCTTAATTTGGGTGCGACAATACTCATGGAAATCGACTGGGATCCGTCGGCCTGGTCTACTAACCTCGAGCAACTCATTAAAATGATTTGTGGGTAAATGACAGGGATGCAGCCTCAGTTTTGTTTGTTGTTTTGATCTACAAATAAAGAAGAGTTGTATAATGATGTTCAATGTAAATGAAATTCTTTTGAAATAAATTAAAGGTAACCATATGTGTCGAGATTATGAAATTTTTCTCATATATTTTATTCCATCTGATGTCTGATGAACCACCATGTCTGTCGTATAATATAGTTCTTTTAAGACGTTAGTGTTACTAATAAGCAGTTTAAAGGAAATTGAGAATTTTTTGTTGGAGACTTTCAAATTATTAAAGTATTATCTTTTGTTTGGACAGCGCTCAGACATTTAGTAGCTAGTACCATCCTTGGTTACTATTTGCTAATATTAGCGGGATATAATACTTTATTATTATTATTATTATTATTTGGTGGTAGTCCTGATGGGGTGACAGGCATATTGCGTCCTTTTTCGGGTTCCTGAAAAGCGTGTGACAGTTGCAAAGGAATTTGCCCAGTTTTCTTGCACATGGGCAGAATTCATGATAGCTACCGTATTCCTTGAGCAGCAAAAGACTCTTAAGGGTTTTCCGACAGTGAGAGTCACGCTGAGTGGTACATTGGACATTAGTGAGGCAAGTGTTCTTCATTTCATGATTTGTTCCTTCGAAAAATTTAATTGACGATGTCTGCAATTCTTCGCAGCTCGGCGAGGCCCAGTAGTTCATTTAACCATATTGTGCTTTCGCGCCGGGAGGCGAGCGCACGCCACTACAAGCAAAAAGCATTATATTGGATGCGCGGCGCGGCCGAGCAACGCATCACGCTACAATGCAATAAGCGCCATTAATTGGCACAAACTTTATTATATCTACCGATTTGGATAAATTTGGTTCTAACAGTTGTCTGAAAATGTAAATAAAATAAGTTCGCAGTGTAGGAATTTTTGTCATACGTTGTATTGTATGACCCGCCGCGCACGAGTGCGCGGCTCCCCCTGTATCGTCGAAACTATAGTGAAGCGGCAGCGGGGGTCACCACGTGATACAAGGAATTTTTGCTACAAATTTTGTACGCGCTTCACAGGGGGGCTGAAACCAGGTTTTCGATCAAATGCTGCCATTTGTAGTCGAACGTCGCCAACAGTTGCTCTCGTCCAATGAAATCGCTGCATTTTGCAAGTCAGTATGCATAATTGAATTACATATATTCATATGCGGAGCTTGGCTTACATAATGCAGCAATTTCATTGGACGAGAGCAACTTTTGGCGACGTTTGACTACACATGGCAGCGTTTGATCGAAAACCTGGTTTCAGCTCCCCCTGTGGCTTGTAAAATACATTTTTATACTCAGCTGCGCTTTCTATTACTGCTGATGAAACCATTATAAAGTATGATTAGTTGCATATAATATTGAGTTCAAAGAGTTCCCGAAACGAAAAAGCAAACATTTGATTTTTGTTTCGGCAACTGAATCGTCGATGGGCCGATAAATATTTGTTGTCGAGTAGTGTTGAATACTCATATCTACATGATTATATTGATTTAATTTAGGAATTGTGTATAATTATCTTTGACCAAGTTTAATTGTCAATGAGAATGCACCCTAGCACTTGGCGCGCGTGGTCAACCGACCCACTGAACAACTATAGAATTTTCAAGACCCTATTATTCTTTGGCCATATTGATATATTACGGCACGATTGATTCTGACATGGCTAAACGACAAATGTTAATTTATATAATTCTTGTAGCGCGATGCACTACTGGGTCGCGCCGCGCATCAAATAATTCTTCTCGCAACCACTGTGCCTCACCGAGCTGCGAAGGATTGACATCGTGAATCAAATATAATTCTTAAACTATGAGCTAGCACTTAAGTCTAAAAATACACTTTTTATATTACTCCTGATTTTTACATTTCACGTAAAACATTGTCGCCAAAGGTTGATCATGAACACTAACAGCTTAATTTTAGATAAATGACTTATGATTTTCTCAAAAGTTAACTCTAAAGTTGTGTATCATGTCCATTTCTACCTGTAAAATACAGTCTCGCGAGCTCCTCTGTGCGCGCCAGGGACTTCGTTACGTCATCGCCAAAATAATACAAACGCTATTTACACGCGTTAGAGAGCAGTTAGAGATTTAGGAATTACGATTCGTTGCTCAGTTTGCTATTTGTCACAATCTGTCAAAATATGAGGATAACTTTTTTTCGAGTTAACTGGTCCTTTAAGGGTCCTGGCTATGTCAACTACTCCAAGGTTGGTTTAACTGTGGTCTGGCTCTTTTGGAAATATTAGTCTCGTCGTGACTCACTGCGTGGTGTGTCTGATAATTTTTCGATTGTTCCTCATCTCACCAATTATTGGTCCTTGAACTCCTTGTCACATTTAAGTATTTTAAAGATGCTGTAATGAGATTAATTAAACAAGGCTATTGAGCATCCTGGACCTTGTCTGGAACTAAGGATGAGGAAGAAGGGCTGGAAACAGCATGCTGGCCAGGTGAGAAATACAGCACAACATGACGCGTAGTCATAGTGATGAAGAATCTACTAGTCACATATATATTCTATAGTTAATTCATGTTAATATGGTTCATACAGAATAAATGATTAATACTCAATCCTAGTTATTAAAGCTATTTTAACAGTTTCTAAACTGCTGCCAAGTCATCTCAATATCAGACCTCTCGATAAAAATAAAAATAAAAACCCACTACACCCTCCCCAGTACGTGTTCCTGCAATGTAGTGAGTTGTCTATATTTGAGTGGCATCCCTTCACCCTAACTACAGCTCCCGAAGAGGACTATCTCTCCGTGCATATCAGGAAATCGGGTGACTGGACAGGTAAGTTATTACAGGGATGTTTACCTGGTGTTAGTAGTAAATTGTATTGTTGTGTCAATTAATATGTCCTGTTCTCTCCAGTTTATCTTTTTAAGCTTTCGTTCAGTTTTTGGAGACATAGTTTGAAGAAAACTAAACATATTGTCTAACCCAACCATTTATACAGCTTCCCTACTGAAAGCTGTAGCCGGTCATTCTAAAGACAAGACTACCAAAGAGGGAAAGAGAGCAGAGCTTAACTTTAAGATAGCAGTTGATGGACCTTATGGGACACCATCGGACGTTAGTTGCACATTTTCTGTGCAAACTCGACTTGCTTTATATCCTATAATGAACTCATAGCCCAACCAGTCAACCAAAGAATAATTGATAAGAATGTATCAGCTATTATTCACGAGAAACCTGTGAGTTTCACCTTACATTCTATGATCTCAGGACATATTCAAGTACAAGACTACGGTTTCAATTGGAGCTGGAGTCGGAGTAACACCGTATGCATCCATATTAAAATCAGTGTGGTGAGTAAACAGTATAATTAGTATTTTAATTAGTATAATAAGTATCTAAATTAGTATAATTATTATAATTAGTATAATTAGTGTAATTAATGCAATTAGTATAATTAGTACAATAAGTATAACTATTATAATTAGTATGATCAGTATGATTATTATAATTAGCAAAATTAGTAAATTTAACATAATTAGCATGATAATCTAAATAGTATCTCGTTGAGATTATCAAATAGTAAATTACGTAATATTGTGGCCGATCTCTGCCAGAAATGATTTAAACAGAATATTTTCTCACTCTTTAATTTTTGCCCATAAGTTCATGTCGTGAGCCACTAGTTTTGGGTCTTATAGTGACATTTTGTCTAAACATGAGTTTAGAAGCACTTACAGTACCTTGTTCAATTATTTATTTATTTATTATATATATATAATACATATATATAAGTATATATGATGGGGGGAGGGGGGTGTCACGTCCGTCTATGTCCGCTTGTCTCATAGAATCCAAAAAGGACAGGACATAGGCGGACATAGGCGGACATAGGCGGACATAGACGGACATAGGCGGACATAGACGGACATATACGGACATTAGCGGACATTAATGGACACCTAAATTGCTAAATAAAATGTTCAATTTTTGCTGTTATATGGGGGGATCATGTTTTTTGTCCGGTACCCTATATTTTCAAAACGGACAAAAAATAGAGCGGACAAAACGGACAAAAATGGAAATAACATTTAGATGCTTCCTCCTCCTACTCTTCCTCCTCCTCCTCCTGGGTCTTCCTGATCTTCCTCAGTCCTCTTCCTCCTCCCCTCCTCAGTCCTCCTCCTACTCCTCCTCCTCGTCCTCAGTCCTCCTCATCAGTCCTCAACAGTCCTCCTCCTCCCCAGTCCTCCTCCTCCTCCTGAGTCCTCCTCCTGGGTCCTCCTCCTGGGTCCTCCTCCTCCTCTTCATCCTCCTCCTCTTCCTCCTCAGTCCTCCTCAGTCCTCCTCCTCATCCTTCTCCTCAGTCCTCCATCCTCCTCAGTCCTCCCCCAGTCCCCCTCCTCCTCCTCCTATTCAGTCCTCCTCCTCAGTCCTCCTCCTTCTCAGTCTTCCTCAGTCCTCCTCCTCCTCCTCCTGAGTCCTCCTCCTCCTCCTCTTCCCTCTCAGTCATCCTCCTCAGTCCTCCTCCTCAGTCCTCCTCCTCCTGGGTCCTCCTCCTCCTCTTCATCCTCCTCCTCTTCCTCCTCGGTCCTCAGTCCTCCTCCTGGGTCCTCCTCCTCATCCTTCTCATCAGTCCTCCTCCTCCTCAGTCCTCTCCCAGTCCCCCTCCTTCTCCTCCTCCTATTCAGTCCTCCTCCTCCTCCTCCTCCTCAGTTCTCCTCAGTCCTCCTCATTTCTCCTAAGTCCTCCTCCTGAGTCCTCCTCCTCCTCTTCCTCCTGAGTCCTCCTCCTGAGTCCTCCTCCTCCTCCCTCTCAGTCATCCTCCTCAGTCATCCTCCTCAGCCATCCTCCTCAGCCATCCTCCTCAGCCATCCTCCTCAGTACTCCTCAGTCCTCCTCCTTCTCAGTCATCGTCAGTCCTCCTCCTCAGTCCTCCTCAGTCCTCCTCCTCCTCCTGGGTCCTCCTCCTCCTCCTCCTCCTGGGTCCTCCTCCTCCTCCTCCTGGGTCTTCCTGATCCTCCCCAGTCCTCTTCCTCCTCCCCTCCTCAGTCCTCCTCCTACTCCTCCTCCTCGTCCTCAGTTCTCCTCATCAGTCCTCAACAGTCCTCCTCCTCCCCAGTCCTCCTCCTCCTCCTGGGGCCTTTTCCTGGGTCCTCCTCCTGGGTCCTCCTTCTCCTGGGTCCTCCTGGGTCCTCTTCCTCCTGGGTCCTCCTTCTCCTCCTCAGTCCTTCTCCTCTTCTTCCTCCTCCTCCTCCCTCTCAGTCATCCTCCTCAGCCATCCTCCTCAGTCCTCCTCCTTCTCAGTCCTCCTCAGTCCTCCTCCTGATTCCTCCTCCTCCTGAGTCATCCTCCTCAGTTCTCCTCCTCCTCCTCCTAGGTCCTCCTTCTAGGTCCTCCTCCTCCTCCTCCTCCTGGGTCTTCCTAATCCTCCTCCTCCCTCTCAGTCATCCTCCTCAGTCATCCTCCTCAGTCATCCTCCTCAGCCATCCTCCTCAGCCATCCTCCTCAGCCATCCTCCTCAGCCATCCTCCTCAGACCTCAGTACTCTTCAGTACTCTTCAGTCTTCCTCCTTCTCAGTCCTCCTGAGTCCTCCTCCTCCTGAGTCATCCTCCTCAGTCCTCCTCCTCCTCCTGGGTCCTCCTCCTGGGTCTTCCTGATCCCCCCAGTCCTCTTCCTCCTCCCCTCCTCAGTCCTCCTCCTACTCCTCCTCCTCGTCCTCAGTCCTCCTCATCAGTCCTCAACAGTCCTCCTCCTCCCCAGTCCTCCTCCTCCTCCTCCTCCTGGGGCCTTTTCCTGGGTCCCTATATAATTTGATATAATAAGTTAAAACTATTAATAGCTTTAGTGTGATTAATAAGTCGTTTGTTTTGTACAAAATTATAATACATAGAAGTTGCGAAAAATTCTCAAAACGTTTGTCCGCTAATGTCCACCAATGTCCGCTAATGTCCACCAATGTCCGTTCGAGTCCGCCAATGTCCGTCCGGGTCCGCTAATGTCCGTCCGAGTCCGCCAATGTCCGTCCGAGTCCGCCAATGTCCGTCCGTGTCCGCCAATGTCCGTCTGAGTCCGCCAATGTCCGTCCGTGTCCGCCAATGTCCCAAAAAACACGTCCGTTGTCTCATAGAATCCAAAAAGGACAGGACATAGGCGGACATAGACGGACGTGACACCCCCCCCCCCCCCCCCCCCCCTATGATGTATTATTTTATGGCCTTGCTGAAATGTTTTATTCGAAAGAGAGATGTGAGATTACACATTTAAATTTTGCACCTGTTTGAAACAAATCATAGTCATTACTAACGTAGTAATGTAAAACTGAAAAGCCAAAAGTAATACAACTATGAGCTATATGAGATCATTATGGAAAATATGAAATGGAATTGGGACGTATATTATATTACTAAATAAATAAAACTAAGGTACTATGTCATTTGAAATTGGTGTTCCATTTAAACATGATTCCTCGGTCAGAACGTTGAATAATTATCGATAAGGGGCGTCGTGTTAAGCCTGGCAAGCGATAAAAGGTGGAACTAATAATGATATCGTGTCATGAAGTTCATCAAAGTAGACGACTATAAAACATGGCTCATATCAAACAGAGCAATTGCTACGACAAAATTTACCGGACAAATGTAACCGTCGAGACAAGTTCTGGAACTGGTCCAAGTAGGTAATGTAAGATTCCATCAGTACAAGTAATGTAAGCAGTGTTCTGGGTTTTGCCAGCGCCTGCATTTAAAGCGATACGTAAATCAAGTGTATTTATAGCTCTTACGTAAAGCCATAACGTGACATTTTTTTACCAGTGCGCGTCGTAGTAGTTAGTCACGTGATACACGTCATCAAAACACGTGACAGTGCGTGAATGAAATTCTCTTGGAATATCAAAACAAAACAGATCTTGTTGAGCCAAATTAGCGGGGCGGGATTAGAGAAGCTGTGACGGGGTTTTTATTAAGCTGGAAAAAACTAACAGCGGGAGCTGGGATTATCAGAATCTATCCCGCCCGCCCGCCTTATTATTCTAACCAGGAGGGGTTTATAAATAATATGTATTTATCATTGAATAATGTTTATAAATGTTTATAAACATAAATATGTCTCACAGTGATGGAGTTATGTGTCTTTTTTAGGGTATTCATTACTTATCAATGCCATGAAGCTCGTTTCTGCAATCTGTATTCTGAAATGGTGATTTTATTGCCGAGTGACACATTATTTCTGGTATTGTACATGTAGTTTCTGGTGATCAGCACAGTTCATGTTCAAAATGCGAAAATAAATTTGATCACAGTCAAGTTCAACATAAGTTAGATAATAGCAATGTGTGTATTAAACAGCATGAGCAATTGAATTTTAGGAATTCAGCACAATAGAAGTTTTGCCGTATATCACGAAAAAGCACTTAAAAAAGGGGCATTTTTACTAACGTGAAGCTGATATCCTCTCTTTCTTCCTGCTGAACATTCAAGGCAAATAAGTTTGCTTTTCTAAGGTTGTTATATAGTAGGCCTGGATAAACTTCAACAGTTCAAAACTAATTACAACACTACAAATCTATTACATTTATTGAGTATTATGTAACGCGATGGAAATGTTTTAAGCGGGTAATTTCCTGTCCGAACCCAGGATACATGACATTAAGACTTTGTTGTAACTTTGTATGAATTTAGTATTACTATTAATATAAGCCTTATAATGTTAAAATTTATTGGATACTTATTGAGCAGTTTTTTTGAAAGATTTCGACGAAAAGAGTAATCCTCCGCTTCTTGTTGACCATAAAATGGTCAACAAAGGATTCACATTTTCTCTTTTCAGTTGAAAGGTTCGTTCCTGCTGAGCAAGGGTCTGAAACAAGTTGTTATAATATGATATAATAGCAATACATCAAACCTTTGTTAAATCTTTGAATAGATTTTGAATTTAATTTAATGTTAAATACGTACATATTTAAAAATAATATGTATTTAACATTGAATAATGTTTATAAATGTTTAAAAACACAAATATGTCTCACAGTGATGGAGTTATGTGTCTTTTTCAGGGTATTCATTACTTATCAATGCCATGAAGCTCGTTTCTGTAATCTGTATTCTGAAATGGTGATTTTAGGAATTCAGCACAATAGAAGTGTTGCAGTATAAGACGAAAAAAAAACTTTAAGTGGACATTTTTCTTACTAACCTTGAATTCTCATAAATTAATTGGAGCTGATATTCTCTCTCTTTCTTCCTGTTCATCTCTATTCTGTCGACATTCGTATAGACTTTATACAGCATCGTCTTCGTTCCTGGGGTTGTTAATTAATAACTTGAGATAGGAGTAGATTATCATTGAACC